TATCAATATTAATAGTATCAATATTAATAGTATCAATATTAATATTATCAATATTAATAGTATCAATATTAATATTATCAATATTAATAGTATCAATATTAATAGTATCAATATTAATAGTATTAATATTAATATTATCAGTATTACTAGTATATAATATTAATATTATCAATATTAAGAGTATATAATATTAGTATTAATATTAATATTATCATATAATTTACGATTTCTATAATCGTTGACAATCAGTGAACTATAAAAACGAGTCGCGATGATCGAACAAATCGTATCCCCTCCTCCCAAATCGTCCATTTTCGTTTACAAGCTGAGGGACAATTGGGGAGAATTTGCTATAGCACGTTTTTTCATAAATTGCCGGTTAAAATGCGGACGCGTATCGCTATTTACATAAAACAAGATTTCACAGACAGACTGCATACTTTTATGCAAAATAAGGATGGTCTTTTTTTTCTTATTATCGATTAAATCTGCCTTCGAAACGATTGCACTTGAAACCAGACGCTTTCGATATTTTTTGTACGAACCGAATTACGACGAATAAAAAATCTGTGAATTCTCGAACGCATATGATATCTGAAATATTCGCGCGACGTATACGCCCCAAGCACCGGGTTTACAAAAAGTTGAGACGGATTCGTTTGCTTTTCGCCTGACCGCTTCTGTACACGCGTGTCCATTGTCAGCCACTATGTGTTCGCAAAGCATACATTTTGTTGCCGTCATCTATCCACGGTGTACAATTACCAGTTACACGCTAATAGATAGTTTATTAATACCGCCGTTTTATTTTAGCACAAACGCGACAACTACACCGATCACAAACATCGAAAATACTTTTAGTCTCGAATCGTGTCCATTCGATATCGTTCGATATATCCAAATTGCCGAGTTCTCTCGTGCCGCGTGCAATAGCGGTCGTCACATTAAAACGATGAATTTTCATTACAGTTACAGGCGTGATGAGTGTCCCGAAATTATGGTATCTCCGGGAAGCGAGGGATTCCTGAGGCGATTTGGAGAAACTTTCTCCTTAGCGAAAATGCGATCCGTGGCTTCGTTTGCGAGTTATCAACAAAAAACGCTGACGCCACGCCCACGCGACCACTGCCGCCGCGTCATACGGCTGGCGAGACGCGGCATTGGCCGCGAGGGCGGAGCGCCGGCCGCGCTCGCTCACCGATTGGTCAGTGTTTTTCGTTAATAACTCGTAAACGAAGCCGCGGAGAAAATTTTTGCAAAGAAAAAAGTTGCTTCAAATGACCTCAGGAAACCTTCGCTTCCCGGAAGTACCATAATTTTTGGATATCCTGTATAACTCTTACTTGTTTATTTAGCTCGTTTCTCTTTGGAATCTGCGAATGCACGTTTCTTCGTTTTAATCTTTCATTCGCTACTGTACGTGCTTATGGTCCGCCCGAAGAGACGAGTTAGTATAAAAATTACGTGCCCGGGTTCTAAATATGACTGCCACTTAAAATTGTACACTTAGAAATTCAGCCGATTTTCATTTATAAAACGTGATAATATTTAAAATTTAAATTTCTATAACGCATACAATTTTCACTGACCCGTCGCGTCGGGCGGACCACGCGAACTTACAATGTTAACGTATATACAGGATGCGCAGAAAAATAATTGTATTCTCGTAATGAACACTCTTAAGAAATGGCACTATTCATATTAACGCGTTGGCTGTCGTTCGATTTTCCACAGGATCGATCGAAATCCAAATTAAAGTCCAATTAATAATATCCAAATTGTCGTTTAGCTTGAAATATCATTATGCAATGAAAATGCGAAATTATTGAGAAAGAAA